CAATATGCGATAGGTTTTCCGGTAATGTTAATAGAAAGTAATTTAGTTTATCTTCATCATTAACTGTTTCACCTGCATTTTTTAGTTCGTTCAAAGATTTCTCAAATTTGTTAAAAAATTCTGTGGGATTTTCATCTTCTTTCATTTTTAAGTCCAACAATTTTCTTTTATTTAATAACTTGATTGCGCTATTTTTCAAGTTTCATCCAACTTTTTTATAATTTCTCTTGCAGATTCTTCAGATATTATCAATTCGAGTTGTGTATTTGTTATACTATTAACTATGTAGTTTTTAGCCCTGATTTCCATCTTATTCCAAGCATCTTGTTCTATTGTAGCGGGTCTAACATCGTGTTTGATAACTTCATCGTAGTTTTTCATTTCCAAGAATAAATTCAATTTGAACTTCCACTTATCATATTGTACTCCGTCAAACATTTGCAAAATAAAAACTTCCTTCTTTTCGGCGGCCATTTCGGTTTTCTTGTGCTGTTGTCACGTTTCTTCAGTAATCTTTCTTATTCTTAGTAATCCTTTAACTTTCCTTCAATTTTCTAACCACGCTTTGCTACCATGTTAATTTAAATAGTCTATGGTTTAAATAATACTTTATTTTATTCAATACAACTTTATTTTCATTTTAAATAACGTGCATTATTACAATCTTGTCTTACAACTTACGACGACAACGACCGAACAACGTCAAAAATACGACATCTGACATAAGTCAATATTCTGTCAACCGTACAGTAGTACCACTAAACAAAAACTAACTATAACGAACTTAAACTGTGTTCACAATAAAACAATGATACATGGTGGAAAAATACAGGTGAAGCGGTAAGCGGTACGAAATTCGGTCAGTTTTGCGCATGACGTCACTTTCGAAGCAGATTTTGTATTATGCCTTTATTTGTTGCACTAGGTGAAAGTTTTCTGCACTAATTACTAATCGCATTTGATTTGTTAAGTGTAGCTTCAAATGTTTGACTGCAGCACACGTATAGCATATACTTTTGGCGAGTATGACAGTTCGAATACAGTGTCGAGTGTGACACTAGTGCAACAAATAAAATACACTATATATCTTCAATGTGAAAAAGCGAGTTTTTAAGTTATTTCAATATTTTCTTGATAGTGTTTAGAACTTTATAGTTGTATTTATCTTAAAATTTAATATTATTTTTATATATCAAGATATCTTTTTAGTAATTATTGGTACGTATTATTCAATTAATTTTTAATTAAATTGATTGTGTAATTGATATAAAGTTAGGTTGTCATATTTTTGCTATATTATAAGATAAAAAATAGTTTCTAATTATATTATTGTTACCTGGTGATGTCCATAAAAGATTAGGTTCTAGACGTTTTGGCTATCATCTTGTTCTCAATAAATCAGCTAGCGATAGATTTAAATCCTAGACGTACCTAATATACTCTTCATGTTTTGTGTCAGAAGAATTCAGTTTCAGATGAATACTGTCTTGTTTATCCTCAAGAAAAATGCATATCAACTAATTAACTTAAATATATTATGCTAAATTGAAAATAAATTCTCGTTTTTGTATAGAAAAGGGCATAAAATATTTTTTAGTTTGAATTTCTTTCCACAAGGGTCCAATATCTGCCTATAATGAGTTTTCTTTGCATTTTCTTGTATTATTGAGAATAATTTGATGTAATTTATCAGTTGTTATTTTCATCTAAATATATATATTTTTGCAATGATTATAGAACTAAGAAATAAAAGAGTAACATCTTGACCATATCTCAATCATTACAAAATGTAAACAAAGCCAGTGCAGTTTGTAGGCGCCGTGACAATACCTGCGCACCGCTTCACCTGTATTCTTACACCATGCATAAAAGTCATATTTCATCAACATATTTCTCATTGCTTTAATAATATGTGGCACATCAAAGATGAAAAAGAGATACCGGTTTTCTAAATAAAAACCAGTATTATCTGGAGATATCTTTAACATATTTGACAATTTGATATTGTTGGACCACAAGTAACTGCACAAACATTTAACCCCACATTTGTTGTTTTTTTGCATAGCTTCATTTAATAGTTTATGTAATAGATTAGCAGAACAAGAAGTATGACATAAAAAGTAGGCTATCGGCTGTTTCCATTTCGAATAAATTCCCCTTACCATAAGTACACTGACAGTTTAAGTTGGTTTAAAAATCTTTTCCCCTGTATCGCCCATTGCTAGCCCAATGATGTCATCTTGATTTTGTTCATAAAATAAATTTGCTTTTATTGACATTTCATCGAAGCACAATAAGCAATATTTGCTTTGGAACTGGAAACTGTCAACTTTTTTTTTTAATAAAATGAAGAACTCGGGATTATCTAATCCTGGTCCTATCTTAACTGCTCTGATTTCTTTTAGCAAAGTGTTAGGCGAGGGAAGACATTAAATATTTTTTATAAACTCTGGGACCAGCAAAATATATTGATAGGCATTCAATTTTAAATTCTTTGTTATAACGTCTTCCCTTTGGATGTTTATGCCCTTGTGATACTTGCATATTAACACATATATTGCTCCAAAGATATATTGTCCAATTCATTATTTTTTTCAAGTACGTGAACCCTTTGTCGTAAATATTTGTTTTCGGCAGTTATGGACTTGATATGCTGTCTGTATTTAACTTTCCTTGGTGTATCGAAGGATGAACTGGCTGACGTTTGGGTAAGTGTTGGAGATGTCAGAGGAGGACTGTCTGTAATTGGACTCACGGCGATCTCATGTTGAACCTCGATTTTGAGCTCGGTTTTAACTAGATTTGTCTTGTCAAAAATTTTGAATTTCGGTTTTGGTTTTGGTTTAGACGTGAAGTAAGACTTTTTGCCATTAGAAGGTCACTATTAGTTTAGTTGCTTTCCTATTTTGTGAGATTTTGTTATTTTTAAACATTAATGAATCAACACGTAATGAAGCAAATTTAATTTTTTTTGCACGGTTGACTAGAGAATAAAACCCCCTTTCAAATGAGCTATCACTCACCACCCCATGCTATTTAAATTTTTCGAAAGGGTTGTTCCCCTCGAGTAAGGGATGAAATTAAGGGTAAACTAATCATACAAAAATGTACATTGTAGAAAACAAAAATCGACCTGTCTCGGCGATTTTCCTAACAAGACTCCAGTAACGAGTTAGTTAGGGGGGTAAGACTTAAGATGCTCACTGTATAATACCAACGGTATCGTGCAAAGTATCCTTACTAGTCTTTGTTTCCACAAAGCGATCGAAATTGTCGAAAGCAACGCCGCCGGTACAGAGATGTGGTAATTTTTTTATTGTTTCAGGGCATACACTTGATTTTTCTAGTGACGTATATGTTGCTTCTGTTTCGAGCTCTTCCACTCCTGGATAACTGATATAATGCCCATATCTATGAATTATATCAATAATTTTGCGGCTACTCGTTAAGCTTTTTAAAGCCATTCCGAGCATAATGTGTTTTGATGTTTTTATTTTTCCATTGTAAATACCGTACACAACGTCTTCACAGAATGACTTGACTTGACGGATACACTTAGGATTATTTTTACGTTTTCGATTATTACCGGCTATCAAAGTGAAGTAAAACTGCTGTAGATCTTGTGGCACAGATATTTCTCCTTCCTCCAAATTTTTCGCAGTTATATTATGTGGTAATTTTTTCTTTTCCGCTTGCAAAACTGATTTTCTCAATAATAAAGCGGCTTTAAGTAAAATATCATCTTTTAGACTTTCAAATGATTGCTCATCAATAGCCACTAAATTTTTCGGTGCTAATAATTTTTTATTCTGAATAGTAAAATTTTTTATTTCTTTACCGAATTGTTTTTTAATTTTGGATTCTAAAATGTGTGGCTTAAAGTCCCCTACAATTTGTTTACCATTATTTTCTCTTCCTTCTAATAATCCCATATAACACCGAAAAAAATAAGTCAAGAAGTAACATCGTCCTTTTTGAATTATATTTTCGTCGATAAAGGAACATATTTCACCAAAAGTAGCTTGATGTTTTAAGTTTTTTTTTTTGTTTGATGAGGCTTCATAAGAGAAATTCAATTGACAGATTTTATGATAATATATTTTGGGATGGGAATAATTTACAATTTTATCATATAACTCCGTATGATTTTCATTTTGTTCTTTTACTTTAGATAAAAAAACTATATGGTCAGAGGAAATTAGAGGCAATCTTTTAGACTTGTGCTTTTTAGATTTTTGGTCACAGTATATACAAGTAAGACTGTTTTGAGTATTACTTACATCAGCATCAACCTCAATATTACTATCAGAAAGTAAATCAATATTTTCCAGGTGCTCAATTTGGTCTTTTACATTTGAAGAAACCGGTTCGACTAACTCAGGTAAAATAGACGGGCTAGGTATTGTTATAGGATCAGGTATGAGAGTGGTTGTTGAATTAAAATCTTGAGAAGTAGATGCTAGATCACAATACGACGGCTATATCCTGTCTTGTGTCGGCTATCAGATTTTGACTGTCTACAATTTTTTTGTTCGGTTCTTGCAGAAATATTAGATCTATGTTCTGTTTCATCGCTGTCGCTAGTGCCACATCGTGTGCCCTTACTGCCCGGTCAACATTTATTTGTAGAAACCTCATTGTTAGGCTAGACTTTATGTGTATAAGTATGTGTATGTCCTTCTGAGGCTTTTTTTTTTGGATGAAGGGGCGATGCCCCCCATTAGTGTATGTAGTTTGAATTTGCCTTCCTAATTTCTTCTCTGAGAGCCTTTTGGTACTTAGGACATCTATTGTTACTGTGACCTTGTTTTTCACATGTCCCGCAGTACTTATTATGATTCGTACAGTCTCTCATGTAATGTCCACTGTCGCCGCATTTTCTACATCTATCCTCTCTACTGGGGCCTATACACTCCGAGGCCTTATCTCCCATTTTCGAGCATTTATAGCATTTCTAGAACACTATCCTTTCTCTAGCTCTGCAGCTTGTCCATCCTATTTTAATGTCTTTCTTTTAAAATTTCCTTGGCACTTTCCTCGTCCACCATTACCATTGCCGTTTGTCTGCCTCCTGCAATTTGTTTCAATGGTTTAACTTTTATTTTGGCGCCCTCGACTAAGGTTTTTATTGCTGCCTCAACTTCTTCCTGGGTGGTGATAGCGTCTATGTCCTGTATGTATATTGGTATTTTATTGTCTCCGGCATTTTTAATGGAGTCTTCGTCCCACTTCTTTGATATACTTTTGAGTCCCTCTGGGTCCTCATTTCTGTTTAATGTAATCAGAAGGTCCCCATTCCTGATTCTTTTGAGATCTCTTATATAATTTTTAACCTCCTCGGCTTTGAACTTCCCTCTTACCTCTTTTAACAGGTCTTCGTACTTCTTTCCCTTTGCCTGTATGACCAGGGCTTGGGTTTCGAAGTTCCGTTTCTGCTTTCTCGCAGCTACAGCCCATCCTTCCATGTTGTTTAACACCTTCTGTTTCCATCTATCCATGTCATATATTTCAAGTTTGAGTTCTGTATCCAAGAATACCACTTCCGTTATTTTCCTTGTCCTTTCCATCAGAAATTCACTATCACAGAGAAGTCTTACTCTTGTGCTCCCTCCCCTTTGCATTACGTCTTTTAGTTTAATGCAGCAGTTCATCAGTGTTTTATCTGCTCCTTCTGTGATATCCCCGCCGAGGAAGTAGATTTTCTCTCTTCCGATTCATTTTTTTTCCTTCCATCCCTTCAAATTCTTTTTTTTCTTAAGGCATGCCGTGTTTCCTCTATTGACCATCTTCCCATTGATAATTTTGCATATCTCTTGGTTTTTCGAGATACTGAAAGTATGACTTTCTTTTTCAGGGTCAAGACAATAGCGTGGTCTATATCCTCATCTAAAGTAGACGGGTTACCTTCGATGACTACTGTGTTTGTGTATGTTTCCCTACTCCATGGTCTGTTTATTACACCTTCGATATCTTCTATGGTGTGTTTATTTTTCAGATCTTCGATGAAGTTTTCTCTGTTTTTAATAGTCCTTCTTTCCTCCTCTGTTTTCGTCTGTGTACCAGTTGTTATCATGTTCGTGTTCGTCTGGATCCCCTTCTGTGCTGTGTCTTTTTTATGTTTGATTAGGAAATTTGAAATTGTCCACTTCCTCTGTCTTTTGGCTGCCCGTACAAGGGCCTTTGATTTATCTTTTATCTCCCTCTTGGTGTTAGTGTTTTCCTGTACCAGTTTTGCCATGGCTTTTGCAATTTCTTCTATCGCTTCTAGATTTGTCAGTGTGAGTGAGGGCGTCTCATCTTCCTCTTCTTCCTCCTGGTTCTCGTCTTCTTTATCTCTGTAGTTCTCACTATATATCTTCTTCATTCTTTTATTTTCTCCTGTATTCAGTATATTTAGGAGCATCATCTCTCCGTCTTCTTCGTAGAAATCCGGGTTGTCCGATGTCCTTTCTCTCTTTTTAGAGGGTCCTTCTCCCTCTGTTTCTCCTCTTTCTATATTATCTATTACTGGGTCGAGGTCTATGGTTTCTGTCTCTTCCTCTGTCATCTCCGTTTGTACCTGTACTCCTCCTGTCAGTTGAAACAATGGGCTTTCGAAGACGTTATCTTCGAAGAAGCCGGCTGATCCAATTCCCGTCAATAATGTATTCGGTGTCGTAGAGCATGACTGAAAAATTTCTGTCATGTCCGGGCGTTCTCCGTCGTCTGATTCTGTGTTATCTTTGTTGATTTTTAATTTAGTTGTTGGGGGTGTCCTTTCAGGCTTCTTTCTCTTTGAATTCCATTCTTTCGTTAGCCTATCTTCTTCGGCTTTCTGTATCTGTTCTTGCCGGTTTTTTTCTTTAATTTGTTGCACGCCAGTATTCGTTCCTTGGTCTTTATTCGTTCCGATTGTTGTATCCTCCTTGGGTCGGTTCCCCCCCAGTGAAGTTGTTGAAGTAATTGTTTTATCCATATATGATCCCACGAGAAGGGCAGAAATAACAGTCCGGCGGGGCAGTGCTCCCTTACCCCGCTAAGGCTTCATACTCCGGGGTTTTGCCAGGTACCCCGGAGGCATCGTTCATGACCGCGTCCGTGCGGCCATGCATCCCTCGGCACGATTGCTTACACCTTAGATTTCGGCTTTCCCGGTCTGCTCCAACTTGGTTTTCTGTCGGGGTTTTCCTTCCCTTAGCCGATGGGTCCCAGTTTTATGGCGCCGGGAACTCGCCATTAGCCCTCCCTATCTGGGTCGGACTTGCCGGTTTGCTTTTGTTAGCTGGGCTGATGTTCTTGAACTGGTACTTATTGGTGTCACCTAGTCGGCATCAGTGACCCCACCAGTGCCTCACCGACCATTTAGAGCTGTTTGTCGACTTCACTACCCATTCCCGTCCCGCAGGGCTCGAGAACAGGGAGCTACTGAACCACTCCACCATGGCATACCCCATTAAAAAAAACTGTTTAATTAGATGCAGTTGTGCTAAAATCTTGTATCAAATTGGAATAACTTTTAAATTACTAAAATATAAATTTTATATGTAATTTTGCAATACATTAAGAGCTTTTTACCATCTTTTATTTGGTATATTTTTTACTTTCTCCTGATAACTGATTATAATAAACCTTATTCAGAAATAATGGATTTACATGTTTAGCTAGTAATAATGCAGTTACTAAATAAAGTAAAAAAAGGGCCCTCATTAAACATTTTATTTTCATTGTAACAGTAACTTGTTTGAGTGGAATTAAAATATACCTGTAAGAAATTTAAAAGACTATAGGCACATTAAGGGTAATCTTGTAGTCGACGGGTCTAGAAATGCACATATGGTTGGGGTTCGGCTTTGGGGCTAGGGTATTTTGGGTCCAGCTATTGAGACCAAACTTGGTATATAGATGTATTATCCCAAAATTACAAAATCGCAAAAAAAATGTCACCCACCCCACCTCCTAGCTGATATGGAGGAGGTGTCACCCTCAAAAAATTAAGTTACAATTTTTTCTACATACAAACTCAAAATTTCAAATTTATTTGATAAAATTTGTCCAAAAATATTTTTGAACTTGGAAAAATTTCCAACCTGAACTGTCATAGTTCGGGCTTGGGGGATGGCATTTAAAAATGGTTACAGATGAAATAAAAATAAAATTTTTGGCATATTTACAATAGACCTGATTTGCAACATTATTGTATATAAATAATAGAACAGTCATCCAAAATTATATCCAAAAAAAATTTTGGATATTTATGTGGGAAAAATCGTAGATTTTAACAGATTCATTTAAAAAGTTCTATATTATTTTTTAGGGATGCCTCCAGGTATATTGTAAATGTGCCAAAAATAGATTTTTATCTCATCTGTAACTATTTTTAAATTCCAGCCCCCAAAAATCCAAAAATTTTAACAAAAAATTTTGAAATTTTGGGTTTATATGTAGAAAAAATAGATTCCAACTGTTTTATTGAAAAAATTGTAACTTAATTTTGTTGAGGGTGACAACCCCCCATATCAGCTAGGGCGGAGGATGGTGTGGGTGAAATTTATTCATGCAGTTTTCATATTTTTGGGATAATACATCCATATACCAATTTTGGTCTCAATATGTCTACCCGAACTGCCCTAGCCCCAAGAGCAGAACCCCAACCGCACATATTTGCACCAATCTGCACTGGCATCTAGAATTTGAATTTGACACAAATTTGAATTTTGTAATTATCACTATTGAAAGGTATAATTGACATTAAAAATAATAATCCCATTACTTGAAAATCTTCAGAATATTTTTTTATTTTTAAGGGATTTTTAATCAATGTAAAAATTGGTAAATAGATGATTAAAATTAAAATAGTTATTTCAATCTGCTTATTTTCTGGTTCAAAATAATTAAATATAACCTGGCAACTGTATGTAAGGATTCCAACTGTCAGAACTGCCAGAACAGGAATGGTTCAGGCAGGCACATTTCCAGACACTTCAACTACAAGATTACCCACATCAAATTCTGCCTTTATTATTATTTACTAGTCCCAAAAGATTTCTGCATGTTGCAATTGGCGACATCTCCGGTTTTTGAAAAAGAATATCATGCATAACTGCATAATATTCCCAGTAGCGCTTCCTTTGCCCATAACTATTATTTTTAAGGTGTAGGCTTTAGTAGGTTCTTTTTAAAGACTTCCATTTATTTTCAACTACCGTCGTTGTTACTGACCTACCACTTAAATTCTGAAATTCAGTCGCGACTCTTTTCCAAACAAATTTTTTGACCCCCTCGCTAAACCCTTTGTCATTTTTTTTAACAAGGGAGATAAGCAAGAGAGTATTATCTCTACTCCACATTTTTTCATCAACCGCGTTGTCGTTTTCCAGAAACTCTAATGATACTTCTTCCGTTACTGGAACCCATAAGCATTATTTATCTTAAAAATAGAGATTCGCCATCAGATATATCAATAAACACTAAAAATAATAATTTACTCATCTATTTTATTTTGCAACAGGATATTATTATACTGAATAATGGCATTTTCGTTATCGTCAAAAACAACCTCGTGTGAATTTTTTGTTACACTTTCCATAATTAATAATAGCGAATTCGGAAAAGACAATACACAACACTTCAGGAATAATATATTCTAAAATGAAAAATGGAAGCACCCAAGCCAAGCCACGCCACAAAACACCTACGACAAGAAGGCCCACAGAGGGCGCGTAAGATCTTATTCTTAAAAACACTGTAATAAGCGAACGCTACATTTACATGCACTTTTTAACTCCTTAGGATAAGCGAACGGCAAAAGAGTCGTTTGGAGTCAAAGGAGTTAATGGAGCTTCCCTAACCGAACTCACCTATAGACATCTTTTCCCCGAAAAGGCGGAGCATAAAACCTGCGCGAAGGGATCGACGCAAACCGTTCCCGCCAAGAGAGTGTTCTAGATGGATATGAATAAGCTGTGGCTATAGATTGTACTCATGTTCCATTTCAGTCTCCAGGTAAAAAAGTGTTAAGATTAAGGTGGGGCTGATATAATTTTATTATTAACAAAAGCAAATACTTATAACTATTAAGTACTCATTGTTATAGATACGTCGTTTTTTTTTAATGTAGGTGGAGTTGATGGAGAAATCTTTAGAAACATAAAAAACAATTTCTCTATTAATGTTCAAGTAATCTGTAATGCCAACTTGGAGGCTATTAATCTCGTAGCAAGATGGCCTGGTTCAGCTCACGATTCGACGATATTTAATAATTGCCAACTAAAAAACGAGTTTGAGGACACTGTTCATTCTAACATGCTATTAATTGGTAAAATGTTTCTTAAATACTTATGTTCAAATATTTTAATATTTCATTGTACTAAAATTTCAAATAATCTAAAATTTTATTGAAAAACGTCATATTACAAGGTTGCTGTTAAAAATGGAATTATTCAATGTAGAAATATGAAAATTTCTGGAGTTACATAAGATATATTTTGGCACAATTTGGTGCTTATTCTTCGTTGCCTTACTAAATTTTGAGGTATTGCCGTACGCATATACATCCAATTTAACACCAAATTATTAAATTGTTACGTCGACCTGTTAAGGAAAAATGGTTTGGTTTCATTAACAGCAATCCTGTTTATACAGGGAATAGTGGATACTCATGTAAAAGTTATTT